ATATATATATATATATATATATATATATATATATTTGTATATATATACTTATTCAGATTTTGGATTTTTTTTAAAACTCATCAATTTTTGTCGATGGGGTGTACAAAATAATGTTGATTTCTTTATCGTTATTACAGCTTACAATTTTGCTTAAGATCTAACGCTAAATATAAATTAAAGATATTTGTTTGTTTGCTTGTTGTTTGTCTCTTGTTAAACACGTTAAGCTTACACAACTAACTTATAGAATCTGATTTGTAATTGTATTTGTATTGTTTATGAAAATTACTTTATATATATATATATATATTTATGTAAGTATAATAGTTGTTGATTTTATGCTTAAATATATATATAGACATTTAATTTGGCATGTATTGCGTATATTTCGCTCAATCTCACAAAAAGTATTCAATTCTATTGAGATATTCTCCAAATATACAAATACAAAAACAATTATGCAAATATACACTATTATTTACACTTTAACATTCGTTCAATGCATTATTTTAAAATTGCTCTGAAGACCAGTTTCTTGGTTTTGAATTTTAGGGTTATCTATTTTGTCTTTAAAGCTATAGACTCCTTTATGGGATAGTTCTTGCGGGTGGGTGGGAGCTAGATTCATCAAATGTGGTTAGAAAATTTTGGAAATGCAATAATAATGGACTAGCTTTAAGGATTTGTACAACACTCAATTAAAAATATATATATTTAGTAGTTATTTAAATAAATATAGATACGAAGTTATGAATGTAGTTCGGCACAAGGCTAGGGCAGCTCATTTGGGGTTTTGAAAAGTCGGAATAAGCTTAATTTATAGATCTATATATGCGCCGTTGATTAAAAACTAAATGTGAGTTGTATATGAGAGACTTCTAAGAGCTAGCTAGATTCACAGGAAACAGGACTTTGATGATCATCACATGTGTGTTGTTTGTTTCTTTATGGTTCATTGCTGATGTTTGTTTTTGTTGTTGTTGATGATAGGTTTGTTGTTGTTGTCGTTTGTGTGTTTTATGCTGATGTTGTCTGATTTTTGTTTTGTTTTCAGTCCTTTGAGTGAATCGGTATCACATATTTATGTCCATACGGACTTTTGTACTTAATGCCACAATCACGATAAAATTTATCTGGTATACCTAAATTACATAAATACAATTTGCCACAATTATTCGTTGTTGTCTTAGCGGTTGCTGTTGACGTTCCTGCTGCTGCAGCAGTAGTCGAAGTGCTTGAATCTTGGCTTAACGGTAGAATGGGTAAAATTGAGTACTTTATAGAAACATCCTTAATGCCACAAGGTGGCGGATCCACAGCAAGCACCGAGGCGCTAAAACGAAAAATGGATTAATAACAGAAAACATAACAGAGAAAGCTTCAAAGGTTTACCGATTGACGCTAAGCCATTTTTTTACAGCATCCGATAGATTAACGGTATTTGTCGATAGTATCACAAGATCTGGCGTGGGCATAGCTGTAAAGAGATATATGTTTTGGAATGATTTTCGAGTATTAATGAACTGTTCTCTATGGTAAACAACTAAAACTTATGCCAAAACTCATATAATGTTCCGAACTACATTTTATATTCATTAAGAAGGGAAACAGCTCTGACCTCTATCTATATTTTTAACTCTAATTAAAATTAAACATATTTCTAATACATAATTAATGACTTCTTCATACCGTCCACCGAATGTACCACGGTGTTGTCAGTAGCTCTAAATAAAGCAACCTCCAAGTTGTTGTTTTTTTCTATGAGCTGCGCATTCTCCACATAAAGTAGAACAGTTAGGCCATGTGAGGCCAACAGACGACCAGTAACAGCGCCGATGTTGATTGTTCTATAAAAGATATAAACAGAACCTATAACATATGCATATTATACTACATCCAATCATTTAACTGACCTCATAGTATTAACGCCATCACAAATTATGGCAATCTTCGGCCATTGATGATTGTTGGCGGGCGTTAAACGACGTGCGCCACCAAGCAATGTGATGGCCAAATCGCTGGCGCCACGCGCTAAAATATCCATCTGTCGCTGGATTGATAAGCCCGCCTTCTCGGCACTTAGCTCTATGCGATTGCGCACATAGGCCGGTATAGTAGGTATGATGAGGCCATCGTCCGTCACAAAATCTTGGCTGCCATCGAAAATGCTCTCAATCTGACGTAGCTCCAGCGGCTTGCTAGCCAAGATGTTTTCGTCGTGACGGTACTTTTTCTCCTGTTGCTTCTGCTTCTGCACGTGCACCGCATGACGCACCACATCCGGCTTCTGGTGCGTCGACTCAATGTCATCCCAAATGGCTTGCTTGTCGAAAAGCGCTAAATTACCCTCGAAATCGAATTCCTCGTGCAGCAGCGGATCATCAGCTTCACTGCCAAACGTTTGCTGTTGCTGTAATCGCATGCTACTCTCTCGCCGTACTCGATTGCGTTGCTTGTTCTTCATGTTTGGATTGCCATTGCCATTGCCATTACCATTACCATTGCCATTGTAAGAGTTGGAATTGTAGCTGCCAGATCCGTTCCCATTCCCGTTGCCATTACCATTGCCATTGCGTTTGCCATTGCCATAGCTGGCAGCTGCTTGGTTATAATAACCGCCATTGGTTTGGCTATTGCTACCGTTGATAATGTCAATGGGTCTGCTGCTTCCAGATACTTCGCCGCTGCCGCAACTGCCATCCGCACTACTGCTACAGTAGCTCCCACCTCCTCCAGCTCCGCTCACTCCTCCTCCATTGTATGCCGTACTTCCCAACTTCACCTCCACTTTGGCTGGTATCATATTACCAAAAAAGGCGGCAACACTATTTGGCGTTGTCGCCAGCTGCTGCATCGCACTCGAAGCACGTGAGGATTGAGGTGTACTGCAACGAAAAGGAAATGAAAATTGGGAAACATAGCTTAATGAAAGCGTATCTCTTACCTTCGCACTCCATTCGCGCCAGTGCCATTTGTGCTGAGCATTAGTTGTTGCATTTTATCACTCAGAGCCGAATGGCTCCCAGCTGCGACCGTTCCATTTCTGCCATGGACAGGCAGCTCCTTCTCACGCTGCTGTTGCTCTTGTTGATGCTGCAGTTGTTGCTTGCCCAATATGTTCGTGAAATGGGGCAATTTAACAGGCGTCGGCTTATTAATCACAGTCGGCGTTGTCGTCTCAACATCCTTCACTGGCTCAATGAGATTGATGCTCTTGATATCGGCACAGCGGAGCACCACCTCGGCGTTCTGTTTGCGCAATGGAACACCGTTGCGAAAGGCGCGCACTATGGTTATCTCTTCGGCCGAGATTTTCTTGATCAGTCCTTGAAATACGCCCAGCTCGTCGTCGCAGGTCAGGCTGACCGCACAGCCAATCCAATCTTGATCTGTTAGACCCATGTAATAAGTAGCTAATCTCGAACTACACAAAAATGTTTTGTATTTGCTGTTATTTTTTTTTTGCTTTTTTGCGATTTCTCTTTCCTATTTGGCTTTAGTTTTTGCCAGCGTTTGCAGTTTGTTGTTTAACACGCAATTACCACGCACTAACGCACGCTTGTTAATAGGGCACGTAAATGATAGTATTTTGTTATTGTAAATTTTACTTGGAATTTTTGGATTTGTATGATTCACATGAAATGACCTTTAGATATTAATACTCCATTGAATTTAAAGAATTTCTGTTGTTTCGTTTAAATTTTCACTGCCTTTCGCATTTACGTTTTCGTTAGAGACGGACGATATTTGCATGCAAAAAAACAAAAAGAAAACCTTAAAGAAGAGCCATCAGCGAATATCGTCGTAACCAAATATGTATCGCTGTCACTGGTAACTGTAAATACTTAACAGGCGACTCAGCGAGAGCGGGAACTCTTACAACTTGATATAAATAGTCATTTTAGAATTACATGAACAAAATATACAATTAAGTTGCATTTTATTTTTGGAGCAAATCTATAGTTAGTCATTTCGAATTTTTAAATAAATCCGGAAACATATTTAACAGCACTGATGTTAGCCACAAATATCGATAATATTCGGTACAGAGTTGAGCAGAAAAGTAATCAGCAAGTGTATCGGAATAAGTTAGTTGTCGTTTCTTGTCGGGCGTGTTTAGCCGTGAAAGTTCAAAAAATTGTTGTAATATTTGCGCATGAAATATAAACAATCAATTGATTTATTTGTGAAACGAAAAATGTAAACGCGATCTAGTGTTGACACGCGAATACAACGAAATTAAAGCCTACCGTGCAGTTGGCAGTGCGAAAAGATGTATGTGAGATGAGTTTTCCCCTAAGTATTTGCTCATATACACTCAAACACACACGCACAAACACACGTTCACAACAGGCACATGCAAACATGTATATGTATGCATTCATAAATTGCACACATACATGCTCACACTTATAGTAGAACAATTTAGTTAAAAATACAACATAAATCAAACGAAATTATTGTGCAAGTAAGCACGACAGTCATTATCTGTGTGGAGCTGCATGTGTATGTGCCGTACTGTTAGATCAACCCAAATGGAATAAGTTTAGAATTTGGATACCATCACGAATGCCGGCCAGGTCGAAACGGCGTTGAACCTTTCGCGCTTGGATAATTACTTGTCTTGGCTTTATGCTTTGTTGCTCATAAGCATTCTATGGGCACACATACATTTGCACCTGTGTGCGTTTGTCTACGCTGGGTGTGAGTGTATGTGTATGTCTTACAAGTACCGTACGTTCTACGTCTTTGTTGTCTGCTGCCGCTGCCGTTGCCTTTGGCCTTGCTGTGCAGCAGCTTCCATTTGTTCTCACCTCTAGCTTTTGTCAATGCTTGAGCACTTTTTGTTTGCTCTTTTTTCTTTTTTAATTAAAGATGCACTTCCGTTGTCTTTAAATCTGTTTCACGATGTCTCTTTCTCTCTTACAGCTGCAGAACGTAGGCCAAACCATGTCGGTGCGCAACAGCAGTAGCGGCAGTGTTGCGGCTGCATCCTCATCAACGGCCGATGTGCCACGCCCGCCGCCACGTCGACGCGCCGCCTCTGTGGCAGGACAACAACAGCGCCTGGACTACAGTAACGGACATACGCCACGTAGATCGTTGGCTGTAGTGGTGAGTAGAGAGAGGGATGTGGGCTGTGGATTGTAAACGAAGTGAAGAGTAGCCCGGTGGGTTGTGTGTAAGGGTCAGCGGCTGTGCTCGTTGGAGAGTGGCACACAGAAATGTTCGCTTCTTTATCAGTGTGCTTTGCTTTAGTTACTGATTATATATGATTGTCTATGTATGTGTATATGGACGAGTATATGTATGACTTTTACGATATTTATACAATGGATCTTATCTGAAGATAGATATACATATCTGAATTCGACCAATAAACGACTGTGATTCGCCTTAAAATTTATTTAAAATTCTGAGAAATACGCAATTTTTTCCCTAAATCATTTAAAATGATTAAAAATGATTATTTCAACTTATATTTTGTTGCTCACTTTCAACATGTATTTGTGTACTTTTTGAGATAAGCCGACGTGCTTGATAAGCGTTAACTGTGATTATCAAATTCCAGAGATCTGCGCGGAGGGCACGTTTAAAGGTTCTGGGTGGCTGCTGCGAAAGAATGTCTGAAAGTGTGTTTCCTTTGCACTTCCACACAGTAAACAAACCATTAATAATTACGCTACGCTCTATAACAATAATAAACAATGAGAGACAAAAGCACTTAAGAGCAGAAGTTTGCAAATTTATTTGCTAATTAAATAAACAGCAATTGTTTGCTTTGAATGTGCGTAATTTGAGCGCTCAATGAAATTAATTGAGTGATTACAGTGAAGACTCTAACAATTAACATACATTTCAATAATGCAAACAATAATGTGCAGGCGTTTGCTCTTGCGAGCAGTTACTGTATTTGCTTTACTCATTTGACACAGTTAGTCAACTAGCTCCGCGGCGCGAGGAGCGCAATCGCTTTTTATCTTCATTAGCGAGCTTGTGCTAACCCACAGGGGGCGTGGCAATCGACCTCTAAAAACTTAACAAGCTGCATTTAGCGCGCTTTACCAGTAGACTATGAGAGTGGGTGAGCTTTTAACCAAAGTCTAGATAATTGCGTCACAGACACACCTGTCAACGTCACGAATATACACATTAGCCACATCATTTGTCGTTATCATATATCTAACTATTTAAATATAGCTGATTAAACATTTGACGTAAGCCGGTTTCAATAAAATGTTAATAATAATTGCTTGACGCATGTTTTGGAGTTCTCTTAGATTGTTTGTGCGTTTCATTCACATTTTTACGCACAAGCACACACACACAAACAAACATACATGTATTTACTTCAAATCATATGTTTTTGTTTTGTTTGCCTTGCCACTTGTTCGCGCAGCAGCTGCCCGTTTTAAAAAGCTCGCGGGCATATGAGGAGAAGCTTTTCCCTTTTCAGTGTTAAAAAAATACTGTAAGCGATACATTTACCCAATATGGACACACTGCACAGAAATGTGTTTGCTTAATACGTTGGTTTACATGTGTGTATTTATTTACACGCAATCACATGAGTAGAAATCGTTATATTATGTATTTATCAAACATCCAATCAGCGGCATGTTAGTTTCATTAATAAGAGCATCTGTATAAAAGCTTTTTGTTGCTCATCACTTCTCTCTCTTTGCATTTATATACTTAACACATTTGGGCACACTGTATTCGAGCAAAAATATTTTAGTTTAGTTTAGAACGCGAGAGCTCCCGTTACAGGCAACGGCAACCTTCGTGTTGTTGTTGTTGCTTCTGGTGTACAAATACAATCACATGAAAGTGGAAAAGACTGACGCAGAACATGCTTCTGTATTAGTGTTGGTGTGTTGTGCGTTGTGTTCACCCGCTTGCTTGTATTTATTGTTATTGTTATTATTTTTGCGCGTTGGGCTGTTAATGAGAGATAAATAAATGAATAATTGAATTATGTACACACATATAGATATATATAACAAAAATATAAATGCCGCGTGCGTTTCTTTTTGCTCTGAAAATGTGTTAATTATATAAAATAAAAACACTCATGTATCTATGTTTTGCTTTTGTGTGTGTGTTTTATGTGTATGTGTTCACAAAAAGCAACAGCCTTTTGCTTTTGCTCGTGAGCTAAGAATCGAATCAACGTCGCAAACGTGAAAACAAGATTGGCCATCGCCATTTGGATTCTCGCTCTCTCTTTCTCTCTTTCATTAGTCATGTGCATATATATGCCGATAAAAAAAAAAACTTTTACATTTTTGAGTGATTTTTGCCTTGTTATGGGTCCACAGACCTAATTTTGTACTTATTTATATATAATTAATTGTGTGAGTCGAGAACCAGGAGAATTGTATTTATATTCACAGCTAAAACCAAAAAATAATTCAATGTCTAGTGTAAACCTGTTCCGCTTTGTAGACATTCAGCAAATATGAAATAGAGACTTCAATAACATCAACTAATATTTATTGCGCCAAAATCAAATTTGTGTTTGGAGCTTGGTGCGCCATCTCTCGCTTGATGCAGTTAAAACCGAAAATCGTATAACTCTAAAATGTTTATAGCTTTTTAGTTAAAAGGCGTGCAATAATTAACACTCTCTGTGGATTAGAAAAACAACGATATACAAACAATATCAAACAAAATGGCCGAATCAACAACAACAACGACCACAAACAATGCCGAAGATGGTCAAATTCATGGCTTCAATAACACTGATGTAAGTGATAGCAGGTGCTTCTCTCTTCTCTATCGCCCTCCCTCTTTCTCTCTTCTCAGTATGTCACTCGCTATTTGTGTCTAGTATGCATACCTTTTAGCGCCTAAAACGCGATCGGCGCTTGGCGCAAAAGCTTTGGTGTTAAATATGTAGATGCAAATACACTGAACAGCAGCTGGTATACTTATTGAAATCGTTGGCTAAGTTGTTGATAAGCTGCCTAAGGTGCATTTTCTGGTCTTCATCTTCATCTCCATCTCATACTCTGAATATTTTTGGGAACAAAAATATGCATATATTAAACAGGAGCGTAATTGTACGTTTTACGTAGGAAATATCTTTCTTTCTCTTTATATATATTTTATATACTATCTCTCTCACTCTCACTCTCTATCTCTCTCGTCGAGCTCTTCTCAAAAACATATTCAACTAGTTTAGTTTTAGCTAGTTACCATAATTTGGGCAAAACAATATAAGAATTCAGAAATTTCTTCGCTGGGATAAACATTCCAAGAAATTCACACTTTAAATGCAGGTCTTCTATTTATAAATATTATTTACTTATTCATATTTACACTCTGTGTATCGCAATGTGTTAAATTTAAGAGTGCTTCCCATTCATTCCACAGATACATACATGTGTATCGACATACATATATGTATATCTTTGCATATCTCTCGTCCTGAACTCATCTGCCCTTTTGCTCATCCATCAATATACAAATGTGTGTGTGTGGGAGGAAAACCCTATTGAACTCATATGCGACATCAAATCAATTTGTGTAATGAATTTTCGCTGACATTCAGATGAGCACAGAAAAAAAAAACAAAAACAAAAATAGTAATAATAATAGGAATCAATTTAATCAATTTAGTTAATGGATGGTTTCTATTCATGTTTCCCTTATGCAACTCATATTTAGTATTTACAAATCATTTACCTTCAATTCAAATAGATATAATTTCCAGTTCCGTCTGATAACTTGACTTAAAATTTCTATTACTACTTGCAATCGTCGCTTATCAGCAAATAGTTATTCATATATACATATCCTATTACTCACCAATGAGAATTTTTTAA